GTGGACCGGTGTGTGTGTGTGTGAAAGTGTGTGTGTTTGTGTGTGTGAAAGTGTGTGTGTGTGGACTGGTGTGAATGTGTGTGTGGGTGTGTGTGTGTGGACCGGTGTGTGTGTGTGTGTGTGTGGACCGGTGTGAATGTGTGTGTGTGTGTGTGTGGACCGGTGTGAGTGTCTGTGTGTGGACCGGTGTGAGTGTGTGTGTGTGTGTGTGTACCGGTGTGAATGTGTGTGTGTGTGTGGACCGGTGTGAGTGTCTGTGTGTGGACCGGTGTGAGTGTGTGTGTGTGTGTGTGGACCGGTGTGAATGTGTGTGTGTGTGAGTGTGTGTGAGTGTGTGTGTGTGGACCAGTGTGAATGTGTGTGTGTGTGTGTGTGTGGACCGGTGTGTGTGTGTGTGGACCGGTGTGAATGTGTGTGTGTGTGGACCGGTGTGTGTGTGTGTGTGTGTGTGAAAGTGTGTGTGTTTGTGTGGACTGGTGTGAAAGTGTGTGTGTGTGGAGTGGTGTGAGTGTGTGTGAAAGTGTGTGTGTGTGAAAGTGTGTTTGTGTGGACTGGTGTGAAAGTGTGTGTGTGTGAACTGGTGTGAGTGTGTGTGTGAAAGTGTGTGTGTTTGTGTGTGTGAAAGTGTGTGTGTGGACTGGTGTGAATGTGTGTGTGGGTGTGTGTGTGTGGACCGGTGTGTGTGTGTGTGTGTGGACCGGTGTGAATGTGTGTGTGGGTGTGTGTGTGTGGACCGGTGTGTGTGTGTGTGTGTGGACCGGTGTGAATGTGTGTGTGTGTGTGTGGACCGGTGTGAGTGTCTGTGTGTGGACCGGTGTGAGTGTGTGTGTGTACCGGTGTGAATGTGTGTGTGTGTGTGGACCGGTGTGAGTGTCTGTGTGTGGACCGGTGTGAGTGTGTGTGTGTGTGTGTGGACCGGTGTGAATGTGTGTGTGTGTGTGAGTGTGTGTGAGTGTGTGTGTGTGGACCAGTGTGAATGTGTGTGTGTGAATGTGTGTGTGTGTGTGTGGACCGGTGTGTGTGTGTGGACCGGTGTGAATGTGTGTGTGTGTGTGGACCGGTGTGTGTGTGTGTGTGTGTGTGTGTGTGAAAGTGTGTGTGTTTGTGTGTGTGAAAGTGTGTGTGTGTGGACTGGTGTGAATGTGTGTGTGGGTGTGTGTGTGTGGACCGGTGTGTGTGTGTGTGTGTGTGGACCGGTGTGAATGTGTGTGTGTGTGTGTGTGGACCGGTGTGAGTGTCTGTATGTGGACCGGTGTGAGTGTGTGTGTGTGTGTGTGTACCGGTGTGAATGTGTGTGTGTGTGTGGACCGGTGTGAGTGTCTGTGTGTGGACCGGTGTGAGTGTGTGTGTGTGTGTGTGGACCGGTGTGAATGTGTGTGTGTGTGAGTGTGTGTGAGTGTGTGTGCGTGGACCAGTGTGAATGTGTGTGTGTGAGTGTGTGTGTGTGTGTGTGGACCGGTGTGTGTGTGTGGACCGGTGTGAATGTGTGTGTGTGTGGACCGGTGTGTGTGTGTGTGTGTGTGAAAGTGTGTGTGTTTGTGTGGACTGGTGTGAAAGTGTGTGTGTGTGGAGTGGTGTGAGTGTGTGTGAAAGTGTGTGTGTGAAAGTGTGTTTGTGTGGACTGGTGTGAAAGTGTGTGTGTGTGAACTGGTGTGAGTGTGTGTGTGAAAGTGTGTGTGTTTGTGTGTGTGAAAGTGTGTGTGTGTGGACTGGTGTGAATGTGTGTGTGTGTGGACCGGTGTGAGTGTGTGTGTGTGTGTGGACCGGTGTGTCTGTGTGTGTGTGTGTGTGGACCGGTGTGAGTGTCTGTGTGTGGACCGGTGTGAGTGTGTGTGTGTGTGTGTGTACCAGTGTGAATGTGTGTGTGTGTGTGTGTGGACCGGTGTGAGTGTCTGTGTGTGGACCGGTGTGAGTGTGTGTGTGTGTGTACCGGTGTGAATGTGTGTGTGTGAGTGTGTGTGTGTGTGTGTGTGTGTGTGTGGACCGGTGTGTGTGTGTGTGGACCGGTGTGAATGTGTGTGTGTGTGTGTGTGAGTGTGTGTGTGTGTGGACCGGTGTGTGTGTGTGTGTGTGTGAAAGTGTGTGTCTGTGTGTGGACTGGTGTGAAAGTGTGTGTGTGTGTGTGTGTACCGGTGTGAATGTGTGTGTGTGTGTGGACCGGTGTGAGTGTCTGTGTGTGGACCGGTGTGAATGTGTGTGTGTGTGTGTGGACCGGTGTGAGTGTGTGTGGACCGGTGTGAATGTGTGTGTGTGTGTGTGTGTGAGTGTGTGTGAGTGTGTGTGTGTGGACCAGTGTGAATGTGTGTGTGTGAGTGTGTGTGTGTGTGTGGACCGGTGTGTGTGTGTGGACCGGTGTGAATGTGTGTGTGTGTGTGTGTGTGTGTGAGTGTGTGTGTGTGTGGACCGGTGTGTGTGTGTGTGTGTGTGTGTGTGGACAAGTGTGTGTGTGTGGACCGGTGTAAATGTGTGTCTGTGTGTGGACCGGTGTGAATGTGTGTGTGTGTGTGTGTGGTGGACCGGTGTGAGTGTGTGTGTGTGGACCGGTGTGTGTGTGTGTGTGTGTGTAGGAGGCTTTCCAGAGGGCTCCTGCTCAGGCTGCCGGACAGGGAAGAGCAATGATGGCTTCCCAATTCAGCAGCCCCGGCCCGACAGCGGCCTCTGCTGGGGACATGTGGTGGCGACGTCCCGGCACTGCTCAGTCTGGTGTCTGCCTCTTTGAGACCCCATGACCTGTATCGCCCGCCAGGCTCTTCTTCCATGGAATTTTCCAGACAAAGATAGTGGAGTGGGTTGCCATTTCCTACTCGAGGGGATCTTCGCAACCCAGGGATCGATCGAACCAGTGTCTCCTGCTTGGCAGGCGGATACTTTACCACTGAGCCATCTGTTAAGCCCCAGGGCGGCACTGGGGGGCCCTACTGCTCAGCCCTGACGGTTCACACGCCTGGGTAAGGGGCAGTTCACGCAGAGAGGAGGCTTCTTTGCTGCAAACCTACGTGCTAGCAGATCTCCCCCTCCTGAGGCAGGTTCTCGAGTGCAAATACTATCGAGGTGACAAGTATCTGATAATAATGCCAATAATAACTAGAATTTGTGGAGCAGTTTATAGATCAGTAAGTGCTTTCACGTGGTCTGGTTTAATTCTCACAACAACCGACAAGGTCTGTATTATGATCTTGACTTATGAAAGATTAAATTAAAGCTGAAAAAGATTAAATGACTTTGCCCAAATTAATGCTGGGCCAAATGTCAAGCTCAAAGACAAATTTTATAGTGTGATTTGTCTGCAATAGAGGAGACAAATTTTATAGTGTGATTAAAATGTAAGTGTAAAAAATAAAAATAAATAAAATGTAAGTGTATGTGTAAAAGTTGATTTGTCACTAACAAATCAACATTTTTCAAAGGTGGGGCTCACCTTACAGCACCCTAGTAGGGCCTCCAGATTTCTGTGAGGTGTTCCATTTTTTTTCTATCACCCAGAGACCCTGTGGGACACCACTTATATCCACAGTTATCATAGATTTGTGTATTGATTATGTGATAATATTGTGGCAAGGGCTTCCCAGGTGGCACTAGTGGTAAAGAACCATTCTGCCAGTTCAGGAGACATTAAAGACATGGGTTCAATCCCTGGATCGAGAAGATCCCTGAAGGAGGGCACAGCTACCCACTCCAGTATTCTTCCCTAGAGAATTCCGTGGACAGAGGATCCTGGCAAGCTACAGTCCATGGGGTCACAGTCACAACTGAAGTGGCCTAGCACACATGCACACACGCCGTATTGTGGCAAATGGCAGTGAAGTCTCTTTGGGAGGAGCCAGCTCCCTCTCATGTCCAGCATCCAGCCATTTGGGCTTGGGGCAGGGCTGCTAACACCTGCCGCCCGGATGGCCCCATCACAGAGGGTAGCCCCAAGCTCCTGTTCAACCTAACCGTTCTGCTCTGAGTCTGCAGAAACAGTGGAGTGTGGGGCTAGGGCAGGAGGAGCAAGAAGGAAAAAGAGAATCAGCCAGGCCCTTCCATAATTTGTAGAATACCTCAAGGATTCAAAAGTGTGGATCCACAATGGTTAATGCAGAAAAAGTAACAATACGTTACAGGGGAACGCAGAAGATAAACGTTGAACTAATATTCAAACACATGTGAAAGTTGACATTCTCAGTTCATTTGGATTTAAAAATAGAATGGAGAGAAGTTGATACAGAAACCATTGCTGTGCCTCTCAAGTGAGGCAAGAGAATGGAAACTCAGAGCCACTAATATAGTCAAATACAGAGTGTGGATTATATTGCTGTGAAGGTCTTCTTGGGTTTTGCCATTTATAATTATATGACCATGAGTTAAAGTCTGCAGAATTTATTAAGTATGAAAGCTAACTGAACTGAACTGGTAAGCATTCTTGTTTCTTTGTGTGCCTAATGATTATATCAGTTAGAATCCCTTGAGCCACAAGATGGAAAATTCAGCTAGAGGTATGTGAAACAATAGGGAAGATAAGCTAAGAAGTTCTAGAGTTGGCTAGTTCAGTGACTTAAAGACCCAGAGTCTTTCTTCTTTCTGTTCTGCTGTCTTTAACTTATCTGTTTGTCCTCTTGGTTACAAAATAGCTGCTACAGCTCCTAGAATCATGTTTTCATACAACCCGTCAAGCCAGAGTATCCAAAGACTGGAAGAGACATCTTGTTCTTGTGTCTGTTAATAAGACGTAGAAAACTTTCTCAGAAGCCCCTGGCAGATTTGCCTTCATGTTACAATGGCTAGAATCATGAAAAGTGCCCATTTCTAAGCAGTCACTGGAAGAAATGTCATGACCGTGGCTGACTTAGACTGATTGAGATTCACCCCTGGGTTAGGGAGGTCACTGCTTCCCTAGAGCACCACATCTCTTGATAACCAAACAAAATGAGGGTTAATTTAGCAAGGAAGAATCAAGTCTGGAGGACAAGTGAGTGTCTACCTTGACAAGAAAATTGTTCAGTTGCGCTTTCTCCTTATAGGCTCTGCCAACATAAATGACCGAAGCCTGCTGGGAAAACGAGACAGTGAAATGGCAGTCATTGTGCAGGACACAGAGACAGTCCCTTCGGTAATGGATGGAAAAGAGTACCAAGCTGGTCGGTTTGCCCAAGGACTTCGGCTTCAGTGCTTTCGGTGGGTCTCTGAAGCTGGGTGTCCCTCTGTGGTAGGCGCTGCAACCCAGCCCAGCCTCTTAACTCAGCATGCCTGCCATCTCCAGGTTCTTCTTTTTTCAAAACAGAGTCCCCAGAACACAGGATGTGGTGCAAAATGGATTTGTGTGGAGCACAAACATTTCTTATTTTAATAGCTTTTATTATTTTTATGTGTAAAAAAAAACTAGCATTTTAAATCTATTAATATAGGACCAAGTCAAGCCACCTAGTGTCTATTTAAGTTTTTTATAGTGAGCCCACTTCTAGAAATTGAAATGGTTCCAGTGATACAAGGGTATGATTTTTAAAATCACTAAAGGAGAATGCTAGAGATTACTGGTGTCAAATTTAAATGTGGAAACTTCAGTTCTAAGATTTGAGATGACTCCAGACCTCGAAGATTCCTAGTCTTCTACAGGAAGATGTGAGTTTTAAACAAATCTTTGGTCCAGTGGAGAGAGCACTGGGCTGAAAACCAAGGATTGTGTAGCCCTAAATGAGTCCTTCATTCAATTAAGTGTTACTCAGAACTTTCCTGGGCATGGCTCTAACTGGCCCCATCCCAACCCCTGTATTTCAGTGTCAATGGACAGAATGATCCTTCGAGAACCTAACTCAGATCCTGTCACTTCTTTGTTCCCTCCACAATGGCTTCTTTTTTTTTTTTTCCCAAATGGCTTCTTATCTCCTCTCCCTCTTCCCCAGTCACTTCAGACACGCTGAGCTCCCACTGTCTATGGAACACTCCAACCACCCTCCCGCCTGTAAGCTTTTTCAGGAAGTCCACAGTTGTATGCTTCTAGAATCTGCCTGCAGTGCAGGAGACCCCGGGTTGATCCCTAGGTCAGGAAGATCCCTTGGAGAAGGAAATGACAACCCACTCCAGTATTCTTGCCTGGAGAATCCCATGGACAGAAGAGTCTGGCGGGCTACAGTCCATGGGGGTCACACAGAGTTGGACACGACTGAATGACTAAAACATGCAGAGAACTGTATGGGCCAGGGTGGGATTTCAGTGTGGTCTCTACAGCGAGATAGAGGCAAGTGCCCCCAATTGAAGGTATACCACCTTTTAAGCTTTTTGATGGAAGACACTACACACATACTGTTGCAGTGCTGCTATTTTCCCCTTTCCCAAGTCAACAGTCCCTTCTGGAAACTGGCTCCCCAGCAGATGGGCACACACCAGCGCTTACCTCCTGCAGATGCTGCATGCCCTTCCCTCCTACTCACTCCAGACTCTGGCTTTTGAGAACCACGCTTCAGTTCATTCTGCTCCCTCTGCCCCAGGAACTCAGCAAATTCATCCCTCAAAATACGTCAGACCTCTGTTTTTATTCACATTTGTTACTAATTGTTTTGCCAGTAAGATTTTTTTTTCTGATTATTGATATTTCAATTAGCTTCTAATGTCAATTTGTTTTGTTTAGAGGGGAGAGTTTAAAATTAGTACCCTGTTAATCAACCCATTGATTGCCTACTGCAGGTTATATAGGGAAACAAATATTTCCTCCCATAAACTAGATATACATGTCATACCTTTTCAGTTCCATGAGAACTTAAGTATTCTCTTTAAAGGTGTGGGCTTCTGTATAAATTTCTAAATGTATAATAATTATATAGGCAGAGAGTTCTGATTTCAGCATATTTTCATTATAGAAAATTTGGCAAACACAGAAAAGCAATAAGAAAATTAAATTTTATCTGTAATCCCACCACCCAGGGCTAATAATTTTAACATGGTATGTATCTCATTCCACTTTTTTCTATACATAAATATCACTGTGTTCTATTTCTTTTTTAAAACATAATTGGGTTCTTTATTATTTAAACAATGTTGCACACACTTTTCCATGTCATTGTGTTCTATAAGATTTAATAGCTACATTGTACTATATTTAATGTCTGCATTGTATCACATCATATGACTATGCCATAATTTCTTTAAAGAGAACCTTAGTAACACACAGATTTTTCACTGATTTACAAAAGGGGGTGTGGTTGTAGATAGCATCTTGCTCACCTTCTTAATTGTTTCCTTAACTAAATCCTAACCCTGGAATTTCTAGCCAAAGGAAGTGTGTAGTTTCCTTTGCCCTCTGACTTCGTATTGTACCTCTAACAATGTTTTAGAGGGCTTTTTCCTCCCATCTTTTCTGAATTCTGTTATTTTATTTTAATCTTTGCCAATTTGTTGGGTTTCAAAATGAATTCCCTTTTTTTTCAATGTGCAATTTGAGAGTTTTAAAATGTATCCATTACCCATTTGTACTTGTTCTTTTGTAAACTGTCTAGACTATTCATGTCCTTTGTCCATTTTGTTGGAATGTTTCACTTTCTTTTAATGACTTATAAGTAATTTAAGTATACAAGAGGCTAATTTCTTTCTCCCATTTGTTGCAAATCTGATTTGCCAATTGCTTTTGAATCATGTTTATAGTATTTGGGGGAAACTTCAATTCTTATTAATCAGATTTATCAGTTTTTTCTTTTTTCTCCCCATTTTAATAAATATGCTGAGAATAGCTTCCCCAACCCAAGACAAAATATTTCCTATTTCCTTATTTTTTATCTTCTAGTGCTTGTTTAATGTTACTTTTTATTTTTGGATATTTATTTACTTATTTTTAAATATTTATTTACCTTTTTATTATTTATTTGGCTGCACTGGGTCTCAGTTGCACACGGGATCTTCAGCTGTGGCATGTGAACTCTTAGTTATGGCATGTGGGATTTAGTTCCCTCACCAGGGATTGAACCTGGGTCCCCTGCATTGGGAGTGTGGAGTCTTAACCACCATAGAAGTCCCTGATATTATATTTTACATTCAGCATCTGCAAATTATTTTAATGTTAGAAAGGAAGTAGGGACTCTTAACTCTTTTTGCTGGAGAAACCAGCTGATCCAGAACTGCATGATTGCAGTACTGTTTGTCTCCAGCCTGCAGTGCCTCTTTATGCTGCACCAAATTGCCACACATCTTAACCTGTTCGTACTCTCTACTGCTTCCTACTGAAGGTCTGTTGACTTGCATGCCAGTGTGGTATCATTTTCATTATCATAGCTGTGCACTTTAATACTACTTCCTTCCTACCATGCCACTTCCTCAAATTAGTATTTTTTTCCAAAATAATCTTGGCTACTCTTATTCATTCTTCCACATGAACTTTAACATTGTTTATTCAAGTTCTCTCATTAGTTTTTTGTTCATGACTACAGAATATTTATCGTTGCTGTTCTTTAGTGTCTAAGTTGTGTCTGACTCTTTTGTGACCCCATGGACTGTAGCTCACCAAGCTCCTCTGTCCATGGGATTTTCTAGGCAAGAATACTGGAGTATAGATTAATATAAAGAGAGCTGATGTCTTTATAATATTGAGCCATCCTATTGAAGAACAAGGTATGTACCTCAGTTTCTTCAAAATTTTTATTCTTCAGTAATGCTTTAGGATTTTCATTATTGGAAACAGGAGTACTTCCGCTTTATTGACTACGCCAAAGCCTTTGACTATGTGGGTCACAACAAACTGTGGAAAATTCTTCAAGAGATGGAAATACCAGACCACCTGACCTGCCTCTTGAGAAACCTGTATGCAGATCAGGAAGCAACAGTTAGAACTGGACATGAAACAACAGACTGGTTCCAAATCAGGAAAGGAGTACGTCAAGGCTGTATGTTGTCACCCTGCTTATTTAACTTCTATGCAGAGTACATCATGAGAAACGCTGGACTGGATAAAGCACAAGCTGGAATCAAGATTGCTGGAAGAAATATCAAAAACCTCTGATATGCAGATGACACCACCCTTATGGCAGAAAGCAAAGAAGAACTAAAGAGCCTCTTGATGAAAGTGAAAGAGGAGAGTGAAAAAGTTGGCTTAAAGCTCAACATTCAGAAAACTAAGATCATGGCATCTGGTCCCATCACTTCAGACAGGGAAAACAGAGGAAACAATGAGAGACTTTATTTTTTTGGGCTCCAAAATCACTGCAGATGGTGACTGCAGCCATGAAATTAAAAGATGCTTGCTCCTTGGAAGGAAAGTTATGATCAAACTAGATAGCATATTAAAAGGCAGAGACATTACTTCACCAACAAAGGTCCATCTAGTCAAAACTATGGTTTTTCCAGTAGTCATATATGGATGTGAGAGTTGGACTGTAAAGAAAGCTGAGCACTGAAGAATTGATGCTTTTGAACTGTGGTATTAGAGAAGACTTTTGAGAGTCCCTTGGACAGCAAGGAGATCCAACCAGTCCATCCTAAAGGAAATCAGTCCTGAGTTTTCATTGGAAGCAAACTTCCAATGCTTTGGCCACCTAATGCAAAGAACTGACTCATTTGAAAAGACCCTGATGCTGGGAAAGATTGAAGGCAGGAGGAGAAGGGGACGACAGAGGATGAGATGGTTGGATGGCATCACTGACTGAGTGGACATGAGTTTAAGTAAACTCTGGGAGTTGGTGATGGACAGGGAGGCCTGGCGTGCTGCAGTCCATGGGGTCCCAAAGAGTCGGACACAACTGAGCGACTGAATTGAACTGAAAGATTTTTGTTGTCCTTTTGGCTTTTTGCTGACTTTATACATTTCATGATAAGTTTGTTCCTAGGTGCTTTATTTTTCTTGGCAACTTTTAAACTGTCTTAAAGAGGCGGTTGTTCTTGAACAAGCATTTTCACTCTTCCACAATAGCAGACACAAATAATACATTAAAAAGCACCATGAAAACCTTATGTTGATTTTAGCTCTTTTTACTGGGAAATATTCTCAAAGATAAACGTTGTGACTTAGAGTCGAGCCATTTTCCCCTTTAAAAAATGCAGCTTCAATCCACTTCCCATCTGGTTTATTTTTTAACAGAAGTAGACACATTTCGATGTGACATCAGTTCTAAATAGAATCAACCATCACAGTACTACAACTGAATGTCACAGTTGCATGCCAAACAGTTCACTAAGTCCTAGAAAATTATCCAGAATTTACAGATGTAGCCATCTCTCAACAGAAGCCATTAGCCACATAGGTAGAGCTCAGAATCAGTGACAATGGTCAACATGAGCAGTGGAAAGAACAGAAATTTTTCTGCACTTTTCCTACTGTCCCACTGATAACGTAAACAATTAAACATTCAATAATTGCCATTATTCACATCAGCCTACAATCAAATTCATTTTCTCTGAAGCCTTAATCCTCAAATACCCAGGGTACTTCACATTATATTCACTGTACTTTTTAATATAAATTTTTAATAATTAAACTGACAGGCAAAATAATTCATTACTGAATATTATCTGTTATAGGCTTATTTAAATACTTTTTCTACTCACAAGTTCTTAACTGATAACTTGACAGACACGTTGCCTCACCTCTTGTTCTCATTTAAAAGCAAAGTCACAGAAGTATTCGTTTTCGTGTTTTCAGCTAGTTAGACCCAACCCAAATCAAAGACATTATTCTAATTGGCTTATTGTTGTAACTTGCACTGTCCTTCAAATTTGACATAGTTAAATTTTGCTTTGGTCTTAAGGAGCAGCAGCATCTGTATGCAAACATCATCCTTTAGGATCTTTTTTGAAAGTTATCCCTGTATAGTCTGCACGTGTGCATTCGTGCTCAGTTAGGTCCAACCCTTTGCGACCCCATGGACTGTAGCCCACCAGGCTCCTCTGTCCATGGGATTTTCCAGGCAAGAATACTGGACTGGGTTGCCATTTCCTCTTCCAGACGATCTTCCCAACCCAGAGATGGATCCCGTGTCGCCTGCTTCTCTTGCATTGACAGGTGGACTGTTTGCCACTGCACCACCTGGAAGACATAATTTGAAGTAGAAGTAGAATTTTGAGGTTATAAACCTCTAAGAGTCATAGTGAGCCCAGGTGCCAGATTCATTTGTTTTAGATATTTTTATTTATTTATTTATTTTTTTTTTTTTGGCTGCACCACTTGGCTTGTGGGATCTTAGTTCCCTGACCTAGGATTGAACCCAGACCCTCGTAGTGAAAGCACCAAGTCTTAACCACTGGACCACCAGGGAATTCCCTTTTAGAGAATTTTTATACAATAGAAAAAGTGAAGACTAAAACTAAAGTGAGATGCCCTTTTATCCCCATAATCTGACTGAGCTTTTTTTAGGTATTGGTAATATTGGAGTTGACTGGGGAGAACACACATGGTAAATATTAGGTGTGTTGGAACAGTCTCCCCTGAGGTAAATTTTGCATAATGTTTGACCCAGGAATTTTAATTTTTAAATTTCTCTGAGTGAAATAATCATAGAAATTCACAAAGTAATTATATGTGATGAATAAATTATGTTCATTATAGCTTTGTTTATAATAATGGAAAACTGAAAATGACCCAAAAGGTCATAATAAAAGAGCTAGTTAAATAAATTTTCACATAACTGGAAATTCTGCAGTCATTAAAAATGATGATGTAAATCTACATATTTAAATACTAAGAGGGTAACAGGATTGTGATCTCCACCCTGTTAAATCCAATGGTCAGTTCTCATCGGAATTGAACACTGTGTTGGTCCAGGATACTCACCCTCTGACTTTTCTGCAGCCTCACTGACTGCTCCTTCTCTCCCCTACTGTTGAGGTCCTTTTCTCTGTCTATACTCAATCACATGACTTTATGAGTATACATATGCGGGCAATTCTCAAAATTATATCTCCAGCCAAACCTTCTGTCCCAAACTCCAGATTCATTTATCCAACTGCCTACTTAGTATCACCACTTGAGTATTTAATAGATGTCCCAACAAATTCAAAGTTGAATTCCTGGTCTTCCTTCACTAACTGACTCTACTCACAGAATTCCCCATCTCAGCTAATGGTAACTGCCTTCATCTAGTTGCTCAAGCCAAAGAGCCCTTTTAGTCATCCTGATGCCTATTTTTGTCACATTCGATGTCCACTGCATCAGTGAAACCTGATCTCCCCACCTTCTTCCCCACTGCTCAAGCCATCATCGTCTCCCACCGAGATCACTGCAGTGACTCCCAACTGGTCTCCATGTTTCAACCCGCGCCCTGCCCAGTTTATTCTCAACACAGCAGCCGTTTTTTTAATACGTAAGTCAGATTCTGTCACTCCTTGCTCCCGTGCCTGCAGTGCGTCCCAATTTCATGCAGTGTAAAAGCCAAAACCCTTCTGAGACCCATTCCTCCACTTCTGTTTCCAGTGTAGCACAAGCCTTTGTATTTATTCCTTGAACCTGCCAGGTGTGTGAGAAAAGGGCTTTGGACTCAGCTTAGATTCTTGCTCTGCTAATAAAATGTCTCCAACCTTTTGTTTCCCATTTGCAAAATGGGAATCATGCACCATCAACCTCACAGTGTTAAAATAGATGTGCTTTTTAACTCTTAGGCTTTTTGTAAGTACAAGAGCTCTTATCATTTTCAAATATGACCTCTGAAATTTGTCTTGCTTTGCCTGAGAATTTCTTATTATTTCTAGTCCTCTGTTTATATTTGATCCACTCAGACAATCTACTGCATGTATTCTTTTATGCCAGGTACTCTGGGGATATGAGACTAACTAAATCATGTTCTCTCAAAGAGTTTATGCGCTAGAACTGGGAGATGGGCCTGTTAAAAGCAAAAAGTGCGTGAATATTGCAGGTGTTCTGACAAAAACAAAGCACACGTGAAGCCCAGTGTGGGGGACAAAGAAAGAAAAAGTGACCGGGGAGAAATAGGAAGTGGGAGAAGGAGGACCCATGAGAAGTTGTTTAGAGGCAACCTTGTACTGAATCCTGAAAGATGGCAGGCGGGGAAGGAAAAGACTGACTACTCCAAACTCATACTCTTAAAGCACACCTGGTATTTACCGCATTTTAATCAATTCCTTCTGAGGGTGACTCTTTATTCGGTGTTGATCTTACCCACCAAATTTAACGCTACCCAGAGAGGCTCTCTGTCTTTCATGTTCATTTCTATACCTTAGAGTTCAGCATAGTTCTTGGCCCAAGGGAGGAAAGAGGGACGGTTAGAAGGAAAAAGGGGGGTAAGAAGGTTGGGTCTTGGTTAAGAGCCCAGGTTTAGGAGTTAGGTGGTCCAGGTCGGAGTCCCAGATCTACAGCTTATTAAGCTGTATGACCTTGAAAGTTTTACTTAAACTTTCTGTGCCTTAGTTCCCTTTTCTGTAAAAGGAAAATAATAATAGTTGTTCCCTTTTTATTATTTATTAATAGTTACTTCTTCATAGGCAGTTGAGGATTTACTGAGATCATTTTTGGAAAGGGCTCAGCATATTGGCTGGCACATTCTTTGAATACCAGTCCTATCTTCCAAGGTCCTCACCTTCCTAGGCCAAATTACAAGGACTCTCTTAGAATGAAATGAAGGTCTTTCTTGTCTAACATTTAAAAGTCTCAAGCATTGTAACAACTTAGGGTTTTTGTTTTGTTTTGCAACTTAGGATTTTTTTTTCATAAAGACACACAGAGTCTTTTTTTGTATATTTATTTATTTTTAATTGGAATATAATTGCTTTACAATATTGTGTTGGTTTCTGCCATACATCAACATGAATCAGCCATAGGTATACATATGTCGTCTCCCTCTTGGACCTCCCTCCCACCTCCCACCCCTTCCCACACCTCTAAATTGTCACAGAACACTGGTTTGAGTTCCTGAGTAATGCAGCAAATTCCCACTGGCTGTCTATTTTACATACGGTCATTTGTATATTTCCTTAATTTGTCCCACCCTGCTCTCTCAGTTAATCCCTCTTTCTTCCTCCCCTACTGTGTCCACAACCTGTTCTGTGTCTCCATTGCTGCCCTGCAAATAGGGTCATTAGTACCATCTTTTAGATTCCATATATATGTGTCAAAATACAATATTTGTTTTTCTCTTTCTGACTTACTCCAATCTGCATAATAAGCTCTAGGTTCATCTACCTCATTAGAACGGACTCAAATGCATTCCTTTTTATGGCTGAATAATATTCCATTGTACATATGTACGTTTCTTTATCCATTCATCTGTTGATGGACATCTAGGTTGCTTCCATGTCCTAGCTATTGTAAATAGCACTGCAGTGAACACTGGGGTACATGCTGTCTTTTTCCCTTATGGATACACGTTTAGTCTTAATGGCTTCCTTTGATTTCCTTTTTAAAAAAATAGGCTTGTATGGTTGAGTGCCTGAGTTACGGTACCGTTTGAAACAGTGCCTGCAAACAAAGTGTTTTTGTCTCAGTTACTCATTCAGGAGGACATTTATATTTCAGGGTTGTCCTTGGCTATCTTTCTGGCCCCAGTGAAGATATTCAGGATCCAGTGAGTGACAAATTCTTCAAGGAGGTGTGGGTTTCAACCGCAGCTCGGAATGCTACAATTTATGACAAGGTGAGATTCGCATATCCTCCTCCTTTTTAAATTGAATCACATCACAAAAGTATATCATTATTTCTGAATATTATCGGTACAGAGTATTCTAAACAAGTGTAAAAACACAACATACCTCCAAATTATAATCAAATACTTCTTTGTGAAGTGAAGTGAAGTCGCTCAGTCGTGTCCGACTTCTTTGTAGACGTTAAGAAAACAGTCAATAAGAGTCATGGGTTATGGTTTAGAAGAGACTTCAGTGGCATTCTGATCTCAGATTCCAGAATCCCATCATAAGCCTCCTTAGCAGGTGGTTACCCAGACTTTGTACATGTCTAGTGATAAAAAGAAAAAGCAGATGGGATCAAAAAATGAGTCAGAGCTGAGTTCAGCCCAGCTCACACAGTTGCTGGTGGTATGAGTATGTGTATAGTAATTTGATGTTCTGAGCCTTCCTTTCTTTCCTCTCTTATAAATTGGGAGGAATATTCATGAGGTGGTCGTGAGGATAAAAAATAATCTGTTAAATATATTTAGTACATAGCACATAGTAAATGATATCCATTCTAATGACGAAGCTTATTAATAATGAGAAACTTCCTCATTTGGACAATTGTAATTTTGAAAAGGTTTTAAAACCAGCTTCATCTGTTAGGGAGGCCAGATGTTCCATCCATTAGTGATGACAAAGACTGTGCAAGAGTTAAGAGTCCCCCAACCCTGGAACAGGTTACATCATCAGGTAACTAGCTTTCTATCACAGAAAATATTCAAACTGAGATCCATTGACTCTATCACATGACTGTCTATCATAAACAGGGTAAGAGGGCATTCTTCTTCTGACTTCCAGACCCCCTTCAGCACAGAAAATTCGTCTGTGAACACAAAAATTCATGTTTCTAATGAAACATGACAACTACACAGACCTATTTCATACTGAGGACTCAAGGACATGATTAAATAGGTCGTATGTGTAGAGTATTTTTAAAATGCAGGGCACAGCCTAGTTTGGATCCTGGATTGGGGGGAATAACAGCTCTAGAAGACATTTTGGGAATAATCAGATCAACCTAAATATGGACCATATCTTAAATGACGTGAAATTGATTTTCTGAGGCGTGAGAATGGTATTGTGGATATATAGGCACATTTCCTTATTCTTAAGAAATGCATGCTGAGGTATTCAGGTGTGAAGTGTTATGATGTGTGAAACTTATTTTCAATTAGCAAAATACATATATAACTGATAACTTTAAGTACAGGTACTGACATAAACATGTTTCAAAATAAAAAGTTAGAGAAAATATACAATTTTTCTTTTAGACGAGAACCTCCAGTGAAATTCAGGGATGATTATTATCCAAAAATGTTAACCTTAAAGTAGGCGATCACCCATGAATCTCCCTACCACCACCTGACATGATCCTGTGGTCAGTCACAGGATAATGCAGATTAGATATGCACGCATCTGTGCTCCGTCAGTCATGTCCGACTTGTGTGACCCCGTGGACTGTAGCCCACCAGGCTTCCCTGTTCATAGTTCTCCAAGAATACTAGAGTGGGTTGCCATGCCCTCCTCCAGGGGATCTTCTCCACCCAGGGATTGAACCCAGGTCTCCACCATTGGCAGACCAGTTCTGTACCCCTGAGGCACCTGGGAAGCACCCCTCCCCCATAGATCAGATATACGATCTATCTCCACCACCCCCCCATACTGCATGGTATATAGAACTTCTCCAGCCAGGAGTTGAACCTATGCCCCCTGCGTGGAAGCTCAGAGTCTCAACCACCGAACCACCAGGGAAGTCCTCTATGATTTTTTTTTTTGATGGAAGCAAAATCTCACACTCTCTGTAGCAAATAAAAGAAGCAACCCTTCAATCAGGTCTGTGATGTAACATAAAACACATATGTTTCATAAAACAAAGGTTTTGTCTGTCAGAGTGAGTGTTTTCCATAAAGGGGATACGCTTTCTTTTAAACTTATCACTCAGTTTCCTATTTGCATTTTAATCAGGTGTTCCGGTGCCTTCCCAATGATGAAGTACACAATTTAATTCAGCTGAGAGACTTTATCAGCAAGCCCATATTAGCAAAGGAGGATCCCATTAGAGCTGAGGAAGAACTGAAAAAGATCCGTGGGTTCTTGGTGCAATTCCCCTTTTATTTCTTGTCTGAAGAAAACCTACTGCCTTCTGTTGGAACCAAAGAAGCCATGGTGCCCATGGAGGTTTGGACTTAAGCGTTATACTTGTTTGCAGCTCAGAGACTTCCACTCTGAAGAGTACACGTCACATTCTGACTTTCTGGAGACCTAACAGACAAAGCCAGACCCAGAGCACATATCCACACCTTGGATTGCAACTCTTTTGAGTTGACTTGGAAGGGCTGCAGTCATACTGATGTAAGGACAATGAACATCGGCATGGCTTTATAATTCCTCGTGCCTCTCCTTGTGAGAAAGGGACTGCGTTCTTAGGTAGTATATACCCAACAGCTTCAACACATATTTCAATTCTGTGATGTATACCAAAGTGCACTTTCTTGGCTAACAAGAATTTATCTGTAACTGTGATCTACATTGCCCAAAGTTGTCTGAACCTCCTTAATTTCCTCTGAGCCTCACACATGCAGCTGTTGTTTGCTGGACCTGCCTTCATCTTGTAATCCATACAGGCTCTGTTTCACAGAATGTTTACTGATGGAAGATGTTGTGATGCTGCTCTGAGATTCTTGAAGGTTCCATGAGATGCTCTGCCCATCTGGTCCTGGAGTTGTGGTGTGCACCCAACCAAGGATGTAGTCCTTCTTCCCTTCCAGTGACTGAAAGGACAGGACAGACCTTAGTCTACACAGCAGCCTGTGTTAGGTACTTCTGATAATATTGATAGTATGTATCTTGACACGACAGAGCAACAGGAAGGAATTAAACTTGATTATTACAGCAGAGATTTCACTTTACCTCCAAAGGCACTGACAAAATGTATCCTTATGATAGGGCCCACCAGATCAGATTTGAAAACATGTGTAGGATATTTGATTACACAGCAACCCATAAAACTCAAAGACAGAGCATACAGCCTTCAGAAATCACCAACATGTTGGTGGGAATCAGATTCAGATAAGGAAAGAACATTTCTTACAGTCCTGTAAAATTTCCCCCATCCTTAACTGCCAGATTGATTGAAATTGGAGTTTCTACATCTCAAAATAAAACCAGCAAATACAGCCTGTCTTTCAAGAGAATCAGGGGCTTCATAACTCATGCCAAGTGAATGAGTATGAGCCCAGCCTTATTTGACATTCAGCTCTCCAGCTATGCTACCTTCTAGAAGAAAAATTGATTGTAAAATACATGTACCATCTCTTGCATTATTAAATAAGCATTAACATTCCACTACAGTTCCAAAGAGGTTAGGGTTATTTATTAATTCACACTATCCTCATCTGTGAATTGTTCAGGAAATCCATTTCTCCTTTTTGGATGTTAACATACCCTTTGATGCCCCATAGCTCTAGTTTTATTAAGCAGAAGGACTCTTAAAACTTGAAGAACTAATGTGGGTTCCCAACAGGCCATAAAATATGGTATAGATGGGGCTTCCCTGCTGGCTCAGACGGTAAAGAATCTGCCTGTAATGCAGGAGATCTGGGTTCGATGCCTGGGTCAGGAAGATCCACTAGAGAAGGGAAGGAATTCTCCAGTATTCTTGCCTGGAGAATCCCATGGACAGAGGAGCCTGGCAGACTATAGTCCATGGGGTCACACGACTGAGTGACTTTCACTTTCACACTTACACTGGGTGCAGTAATTAACACCTTTATGCGTTACCTGGACAGAATCTCGTCCAAAGAAGTAAGGATCCATACCTGTTTCACAGAGCTGGTAGTCCAGTAAAAAAGACTAAATAGGAACATAAAGCCAGTGAAACATAAAGTCAGTTAGCAGGAAAGAGACAATGTTACATACCCACAAGAGAGTTTTACAAATGAGGTGAGACTGTGTAACCAACAATGGAAATTAATATGCTTTTATGGCGGCCAAAGATGAAAAAATGGCTTCATTCTATAGCCATCATAAATAAGGTGTTTGCTATTTGTGAAGTTTAGATTGGCATTTAAAGTGTTGAGTAAATGTGGAATACCTACGGATTTCTCATATTTTCTTTTTAAATGTTTTTTTAAATGTAGAAGAGTCAAAAGACTGACTCTTGAAAGGGCCCTTTCTCTTTAAAAAAAAAAAAAAGCATGTAATACAACCTCTCCCTATTTTATAGCTAAGGAAACTGAGACCCTTGTTAGTTGAAGGACTCTTCACCCATTAGGACTAAGGACATTGCTGCAGTCCACTGCTGGCCTCTCCTTTCACTCCTCACTGCCCCACAATGAGGAGATGCAATAAATAGATTTCAGAGAGGATGTCTCTAAGTTGTTTTGAACCCTGTGATCTTATGGATTTATGGGCTTGTCCGTCTCCCTCAACTAGAATGGAAGCTCCATGGGTCAGGGACTTCCCTGTGTTTTGTTCATATTGCTATCTCCAGAGCTTGAAACAGAGCCTGGCTCATAGGAGGTGCTCAGTACATGTTTGTTGGATGAATAAAGGAGATGGAGGAGAGAGCTAATGAAATGAAAACCTTATGGAGTCTCAGACAAGAAATCTTCCTGCTATTGCTAAAGAAACTGTTAGCAAGGTTCTTTTCTACTGAATCTTCTCAAAGGCAAGATGTTTATCTGCAAAGAGAGGGGCCACAAGATTTATTTGGGTAGATTTATGGGAAATTCAGCCACAATTCCTTGCTTTGCAGTGGCAGTTTACATAGTGTACCATTCTGTAAAAATTGCATGGGCTGTGGACACAAGATGTATGACCTAATTACCCATCATTCTCTGACACCATTACTACCTACTAGAAGTTCAAATACTTTAACATTGCAATGTCTGATATAAACTTTAAAATGCAAGGGATTAAATAAATAAAATGCAAGGGATTTAGCATCTTGAAAAACTATTATGAATCTGTACAATGTTTTAAATTGACTATAATCTTTTGAAATTACAAAAGGTAATTACAGCCTTTAAGTGCTGTACCTGAGATTCTGATAATCCGTGTGATAATTTTTGCTTTCAAGAAGGGGAAAAAAAAAATCTGTGGTTATAAGAAGTGAAGGGTAGAAAGTGGTCATGGCCTATTAAAGCTATTCATGCTGGCCAGGCTTAGTCGTTGGAGGACACTCAACACAGCAGGTCAGGTGCAGGCATTTGCTCTGGAGCAAGTGTCCACTTGGTGACTCACCCTTTAGTGGGACTGTCTTCTTTTTCAGCTGTAAAGCATCACAGAAGGGCTTGGAGAGCTGGTCATTAGATAATTGAGTGACATATTATAAAACAAAGCATTGATTTTATTTTAATAGCATCTTTGGAAAAAAATTTTATCTCTAGATAATAAAAAATGTAATCAGTTAATCTCTTATGTAATAACAGGAAAATGTAATATATTTTGAATTAACAGTCTTCCAGATGAAAACAGCAAGCCAGGAAACCTTTTTTGCAGATGTAAGATAACAGGCATAACAGGTTTTACATACATTATGAAGACCCTGCACTTCTTTCTGCCTCTCCTCATTCCTTATTCTTTCAACCACTGGCCCCATCCAGAGCCCTTCCTTATTATGGAAACCATTTTAGAGGACAAGAAAGAGCTTTCTGGAGAAAAGAAAAAAAACCATGAGGCCTCTATAATAAATTTTCAGTTTAACTCACACTTTGAAGTGACTGACAAAATATTACTATTTTTTAACAGAGGTAATGGTTCTTTTTAACATTTCTGATCTGATGTGGCACATGAGCATTCTCAGCTGCCTGTCACCCTCTGGAGAGGGACTAAAGAGGACTCTTCATGTCTTCTCGCCCCTCTCTATTCTCTCATTATGAAATGAGCAAATGTTATAGGATTTCCAGTATGCTTAGGAATACAATTTTATTCCCTTGGAAGATTCCCTGAGGTCAATTAATACTGGCAGTTTGGAGGTTTAAAATGAGTTTCACCAGGCATCAGTTCAGTTCAGTCGCTGAGTCGTGTCCGACTCTTTGCAACCCAATGGACTGCAGCACGCCAGGCCTCCCTGTCCGTCACCAACTCCCAGAGTTTACTCAAACTTACGTCCATCGAGTCGGTGATACCATCCAACCATCTCACCCTCTGTTGTCCCCTTCTCCTCCCGCCTTCAATCTTTCCCAGCATCAGGGTCTTTTCAGTCCTTCACATCAGCTGGCCATATTACCAGGCATAGGCCTTGAGAAATTCTTGAATCTAGAAATTCACTGGAAAAGGAATTCACCATCTATCAAAAAGTTGCAGGTGAAGAATCAATGGATTTGCCTTATGTTTAGGGGAGGCAGATACCATCATAAATGCCTAATGGCATTTAATTCACATGTGATATATTACTAGCTTTGACTTAAGATTAGAAGGACTCATTAAAGGGACCAAAAATGCTGTGACTGAATTTATTATAGGTTATATTATTTTTTCCTTTATACCAGTTTTAAATTTTAACTTAAAAAGTTAATCTAAAATAATGAAAATTTGTCACACTAATCATTTTAAACTTTTACATTTTAAAGTCAGAGACTGGGATGGCAGTCCAACCAAAATGTAGGCTTAATTACTCTTTCCTATCTCCAGCAGCTCAATTGTTCACTTTATTCTAGGTATATGCACTTAAGTGAATGTCGTCCTAGTTCTGCTCAACACTGGGAAATAAACATCATGTTCTCCTAAGGTATATTCCACTTGGATTCATGACATAAAATGGTCTGGGTCAAAAATACTGATACTCTTCCTCAGTCATTCTAAAATTCATACTAGAAAATTGTAGTTGGAGCACATGTCTCTGACACAAAAACCTAATACATGTTGATGAACATTCACCCATTCAGAATATTCAGATATTCTGGACAGAACTCGGACGCCTAGCCTCACCCTTGTGACAGGCTTTGGCAAACAAAAACTGGGCCTCCTGTTTTTGTAAATAAAGTTTTACTTGATTGCAGCCATGTCCATTTGTTTACATGCCTCATGACCAACTGATCTGCAAATCCAAACTACTTGCTATCCTTAAGAAATGTTTACTGATCCTTCCTCTAGAGAGAGCAGAGAATAAACAGAATACCTCAACCAAACAGATTTGGGTGAGTTTTAATCTCTTCTATGAGCAAGGTTTTCAACTCTTCCCTATC